CATTCATTCATTCATTCATTCATTCATTCATTCTATTTATACCTCGCCTATCTGGTCATTGTGATATACTACACAATATACTAATTGTGGCTGCTCAAAAAGCATTGGCCCCCAAAAATCACCTTACAATGAACAAAGACCCCTTCCCCCAGAGCAATCTAAGGCCATAATTGTCTGAGGGGGGAAAGACAGACTTTTCTCCTTAAGATGGAGGTTCACAGGGTCCCACTAAGGGGCCTTGGCAGCTGGTCAGTGGCCCATAAGCTGGGCAATCTCCATCCCTAATTTATTGTGTCATTTGGCAGTGGGAAGCATTTCTTCCATGGTTTTTCCCCCCTCAAACTAACAGATCAGAGTTTATTTGGGACTTCTTTGTCTGGTTTGTTTGGAAGAACAAATAAGAGAAGGGAAGCCACCCACCGCTAGAAGACACAATAAACCAACTACAGCATGAGGTTAAGTGGTCTGCTGAGCTACTCTGGTTGCAAACAGCAGCAAGTGATCAGTGTGCACTGGCTGTTCATTTATGAAAAGTCAGATTTTCCACAGATCCTTGTGTAACCTTATGACAGGAGCACAGCGATATTTTCTGCTTGGCTGAGCAACCAAATACCCTTGTAGCGCTCCTGCAACTGTCACTTCACAGCCACCATTTCATCAAGCTATTTAAAGTATTTCCATGCTAGGCGATTGCTATAAAAACTGTATGTTTAAGGATTGGTGCCTGGTTTGATTTTCATTTCTCCCTACCTCATTTCCTACTCCCCATTCCTGCCCCCAATTCTTTTTAAATTGAAGCCAAAAGAGAGAAGCTCTTGTTTTTGTTACATGCCATAAAGTCACCTCTGATCCATAGTGACCCTATGAATGAGGGATCTCCAAAATGTCATGTCCTCAACAGCCCTGCTCAGCTCTTGTAAACTGCTATGATTCCTTTCCCTGCTGTCCTCAACTGTTTCCAGCATTATCATTTTTCTCTCAGAGAATCTTGCCTTCTCATGATGTGCCTAAAGCATGACAGCCCCAGTTTCATCATTTTTACTCCCAGAGAAAGTTCAGGCTTCATTTGATGTAGGGCCCACTTGTTTGTCTTTCTGGCAGTCCAGGGTATCAGCAAAGCAATCCTCCAGCACCACATTTCAAAACAATCATCTCCCCCATCATCCCTCTTTATTGTCCATATTTTACATGGTGACTGGAAATTCAAGAGTATGGGTAATCTTGGTTTTGATTTCCAATGACACATCCTTGCACTTGATAATCTTTTCTATTTTCTTCCTTGCTGCCCTTTCAAGTCTCAAGATTCTTCTGATTTCTTGGCTTCCATTTGGATCAATGATTGAACCAAGGTATACAATGTCTTTTAACAATTTAAGTTTCTTCATTGTCTAGATTAAAGTTGTGCTAATTTGTCTATATCTCAGACAGTCTTCACAGAAAAAAAGAAGAAGTCAGAATCTCCATAGAGTCTTCAAGGTCAATGTTCTGGACTTTTTGACAATGCTGTAGATAACTGTAAATAGCTGTAGCCATAACATAACCAGTTTAACTTCAGAGAATAATAATTATAGGAGAAAGATTTCTTAAGTTTCTAATGCCCGAGTAGTACTAAACATCCTTCCTTGAAGTATAATTAAATGTCTAATTAGTGTCCAATTTATTTTCTTTGCGTCTCTTTGCATCTCTTCCTTTCCCCAGATTCACTGCTGCTCTTTAAGTGGTGAGGTTGAGAGACACTATTTCTGTTAAAGGGATTGTCTCGTCCAGGAATAGTCATAAAACGGTACAGTTATAAATATTTCTCACCCAATGATAATGATGTTAATTAGCTGGTTTATCGCTTCTCAATTGCCAGCTGCCGACAACTTGTGAGCAAGCTTTTCAGCTGCTTGTTTCCATCCGCTGGTTGATTGGGGAGTTTCCCGGATCAAACAGGGGCAACCACTGCCACCCCCTGTGATCTCCCTCATTTCACCACCTCTTCGGGGTGGTTTTAACGCCCTGCGGGTCCCAAACAGGTCAGAATTCAGCTCAAGGGATGGAGTTCCATCTGCTGCTGTCTCGTCACTGCATTAAACTGGAAGTCCTTTGTTACAACATATTGACCATCATTTTGCTTGCATGGGATATTAAAGCAAGTGATTTTGAGTTACTGCACACCTTGGTATCTCCTTTATTGTAACATATTGTAACATATATTGAACATTTTCAATCTGTGGGCTAGTGTTTTGTTTTCTATATTTGTTGGCATATTCTTGTTAGAATTTTGACAGCTATAGTGTGCCTTGAAACAGATCTATCATTATCCCATCTACCCCTGATAATTTCTTTCTTTCCAGTACTCTTTGAGCAGACTTCACTTCACGTTCAGCCACCTAGAGTGGTCTTAATCGACTAGATAGGCGGGATATAAATAAATTAAATAAATAAATTATGTTCTTCATCATAGGATTCCTCTTCAAAGGAGCCTGTCACTTTTTATCTCTTCTGCATAGGTCTTCATTATACTATTTCTAATCTAGGCTTAAATTTCCTTTTGATTTCATCATCATAATTGTTGTTGTCATTTTCATCACCACCATCTTAAAATGGCAGAGCTGAAAAGGACCCTATGGATCATCCAGTCCAGGCCCTGTCAAGGAGACACAGTGGGGAACTCAAAATCTCTAGCTCTGCAAGCCAAATACCTAAACCACTGAACTTCTAGAAGAGATATCTTGTTTTTATTCTTTTGATATACAGTGGTGCCTTGCTTGACGAAGATAATCAGTTCCAGTGAAATCACTGTAGAGCAAAATCCTCGTCAAGTGAAATAAAAAAGCCCATTGCAACACATTGAAAACTGCTCAATGTGTTCCAATGGGCTAAATACCTCAGCGTCCAGTGAAGATCCTCCATAGGGCGGCCATTTTCCGACGCCTGTGCAGTGAAAAAGATCCTCCATAGGGCGGCTATTTTCCAACGCCTGAGCAGCGAAAAATCCATCCTAAAGCACAGCGGGGAGCCATTTTACACAGCGGGTGGCCATTTTGAAACCCAACAATCAGCTGTTTGATCGTCGTAATGCGAAGAATTGGTTCCCGAAGCAGGGAACCGATCGTCGGGAAGTGAATTTTGCTCATTAAAACATCGTTTTGCGATCGCAAAAGCGATCGCAAAAACCTCATCATCAAGCAGATTCATCATTTAATGTGGTAATTGTTAAGTGAGGCACCACTGTAATAGTTCTCTTTGTCTCTGCTAACAGTCACTGAAAACTTGCATTCAAGATTGTGACCCTATTTCTTTCATCTTTTACTTTTGTTTCTTGCCTGTCCTTAACAATTATAAGTGCTTCTTCTATCACCCATATAGGTTTTTCTTCCTTTTGACTAAAGGAATTATCTGTTTGCATTTTTCTCATATAATAATCTGGTTTCAAATCTGTTCTTTATGTAAAGTTTAAATTCATCAAAGATATTGTTTAAATTATATTTTGGCACTAGAATTTGTTGAGTGATTTTCCTCGGGTTTACTCTAATGTTCATGACCTGTACCACAATCTGCTCCGGTTCTTATAACCACTAACTGCCTGTTCTACATCTTGCTTCAGTATTAGAGCTACTCCATTTCTTTTGAGTTTGTAATTTCAGAGTAGAACACTTTGTAGTTGTTTAACTAAAAATGACACTTTTCAGTTCATTTTAGTTTATGGCACCAAGTACTGCAATGCTTAAATGTCCAATGTCTTGCTTTACAATTTCCAATTTATCTTGATTCATATTCTGACATTCTGTGTTCCAGTTATGTGCATCAGACTTTTCTTTCCTGTGTGCATGTCAGCCACTAGACATCCTTTTGGCTTTAGTCTAGTTGCATCATTAGAAGTAATGCTATTGGTAGCTGTCCTTTGTTTTCCCCCAATAGTTGATTGAGTGCTCTCTGATCTGGGAGTCTCATCTTCCAGCACTATCTCTTATTTCATTTTGGGGAGGGGGGAGCAAGGAGTGAGGTGTTTGCTTGCCATGTAAAAATGAAAAAGTATGACTCAGGGTTGTACACTTTCGAGAAAGAGTGAATTAGTAAAAGGCTTATGCGTGTGGCTTGAGTGGGCATGGATTTACATTTCTTCGATTTGTCATTTCTGGCCACAGCCAAGGAGCCAGTTGAACATTAGCAAATGTGCCTGTCTTCATGGCAAAAAAGTGTTCTTTTCTTGAAGATTAACAACCAGTGGTATGGGTAAGAGAGACAAACAGGGTCAAAGTGATCACCCTTTGTCAATTGTCTGAAGTTAAAAGGGCTCTGTCCTTACCCTAAGGAAGCATTATCAATCCTGTAGAAAGCTGCGTGTTGTTCTTATGTGCCATCAAATTGCTTCTGACTTAACAGTGATGCTTTAGATTAATGATCTCCAAAAGGTGCTGTCATGAACAGAAAGATTCCTTGACTACCGGCGTCAGAGGATAAATGAGGTATGTTTGCAAAATCACAGCTATGGATAGAGGCAAGCTAGAATCAGAGGTGGAAACATGAGGCAAAATGAACACAAGGCAGGGATCCAGTAAGATTGGGGGCAAAATTTCAACAGAGGTAACATGATCTAGGGTGGGTACCTTCTCAACTAGTGGGGAGCCTCCCTCTCACTCCCCAGGAAGATATCCAGATTTCAAACTATGCATATGTACTTTTTTTTTGGTCAAACTAATTTTACAATTCAAAGCAATAACTGGAAATGAGGGAGGTAACAATTTGCTTATTTCTGTCATAGTATGCAACTCAGTGTATCATCCCATGACATGCAATAGTGAATATGGTATTATATACTCATTGTTACTAAATTAAATGCAGTCTTTTAATTGTTGCAAGACATATTGGGTCCTTTTAAAGGAGAAAGACAGGTTGAAATATTTTAAATAACAACAACAACATATATTCTAAATTTACTAATGACTTTTTTATTCAAGTGCTTCAGATTACAGTTAAAATTATTGGGGGAGGCACAGTTCAATGGGAATCTTTTGGTGTGTTTTGGATGAAGATTTTTTTTAAAAAAAAAGTCAGAAGAAACTCTGAGGATAAAGAGCAAGAAGACGGGACTGGGAGAGGGACTGACTACCTATGGAAGTTCCTGGAGTTCCCATGAGAAGCATGAGGACCTCTTTGAGGCTCCCACTCAGTGTGCAGATGGAGGTAGTTTACCTACCATTCACAGAAATTTGAAAGGTTGTGAGTCCATACTCTGATAACAATTGGATAGTGCTGTTGAAAAACGGCAGTCCTGCATTTTGTTCAGCTTCCCTTGAGGCCCTTCATTGTCACCAATATCAGCTTTGACTCTTTTGCACCTTTGACTTCTAGAGCCAAAGGCAAGGAAGCATTAACTAAGGAAGCTAGGCTTTTGGTTTGTTTATTTTTCGCCTTAGTAACATTGAACTAGTTCTTCAAACTTAGTTAAATGAGTTCAACTGACCTTATGCCTTATGGATGCTCACAATTGCATCCACAGCCGAGAATGGACAAGGAGTAATAAACCAAGATCATCTCACCTTTATAAAGTAAACTGGGAAGGGGAAGGGTCATATTTCTATTTCTTTCTCAGCAGTGTATCTGTGGGTGAATCAGACCCCCATCTGGTTGGGGAACTCTCTCCCCAGCTTGCCACTGCTCTCTTAAACCACAGGACTTCATACAGAGGCTCCTTGGGTACCTCAGAGGAGCTTCTTCACCCATCCCTGTATCCCACAGCCCTAGAGAATCCTCTTTCACAGTAAAGCTTCTCAAGGCATTGATCAATGAGTCTTGTTGACCCAACCCTTGCCTTATGCTTGGTCATCCTAGTTAAAATGATTACAGCCAGCCTAAGCTGTCTATGAGGGGTAATCTTCCCACATGACGAGGAGCCAATCAAGCCCACTGGGACTATAGAGAAAGGAATCTTATTCAGCCCTGGAAGAAGCAATGTGGTTTATACTACATCCTATTGGATAGGAGAATGGGCCGGAGGCCCAAGGTTGGGGACCGCTGGTTTATACTACATCCTATTGGATAGGACGATGGGCACTCTGCAGCCAAAGAAGGATGGGTTGAAAAGCAGAACAACTTTACACTGAGCCAAGGTAGTATAGTGGTTGGGTTACTGGATGAGATTAAATCTTCATTGAACAAAATTCAAATCCCCCATAAAGATTTGGCTCTGGACTTATTAGCATTGTATATCTATCTGCTAACAATTGGTAGATTGGATTTCTACCAGTCTGCTAAAAATTTGGTAGAAATCCTGAGTACTGTATTTCTAGTCAGATACTGGGAAAGTCAAATACATATTTAACTTGAGACATTTGATCAGTGCCTGAAACTGGAGAAAATGATGATTCACTTGATAAGACACTGCACTGAACTAAATTCAATGGAGAAAGAAAATCCCTTCCATGGAATTTGTTTCAAAGAACAATGAGACTACTTTTGGAGACATAATTTTGGTATCTAGGCCTGAGCATTTTTTTTTTAAGTTGTGGAAAGTTTTGCAACACCCTATTTCAATAGAAGACAAATGAAAACCCTTGGTTTATCAAGTGTATCGAAGTGAGCTGGCGTGGTGCTTGTTTATTTGCATTCCATGTTATCTTATCTTTATTACTGTTCTTTTACAGGCCTGTCTCTGCTCAAAAGTTCAACAGTCCCGGGAATATCAAACTTTGAGACTTGAAATCATCACCCTCTGTAATTCAGCACTATTCACTATTGAACACATTTCTCTTTTAATCAGAACCAAACAAACTGTAATGAGATGGTTTCAGTACTTAATTCACCCGATTCACTGGTTTTTCAAGACCTAAGGAAGCTAGGAAGTTACTATGGTGTTTTTAAGCCACGTGTTGTAGTGGTGGGCTTTTCCAAATTGTGTAAGTATTGCTGCATGAGAGTATGACAATGATCTTGTGTTGGCAGAGCAAATCAACATTCTATAAGGCAAAAAATTCAGATTTTTTTTAAAGAAAAAAATGGGGGCAGCCCAAACAAAATATATATATTACTTTTAAAAAGGCCATCAGGTCAGCACAAATCTGGCAATCTGTAGCCCAATTTAAATGTTATTATATATTGTTTGGGCTGCCCCCATTTTTTTCTAAAAGATATATAACTTTTCTATATATATAACTTTTTAAAAGGCCATCAGGTCAGCACAAATCTGGCACAGTTATGGCAGACAGTCTGCTCTTGCCCTGTGCCATCTGTGGAAAAGTTTTGATAACGTGAAACTGTAGACCATCTTGACTACTGACACAGGTGTTGTCAACATTCAGGCTGCCCTTTGCTATGTAAAGTTTGGAGTCCCTTAACCTGCTGGCAATGCAGGTGTGATGTGCTGCAATATCAGGCTATTTCCTGGTGTTTTAATTGTGGAAAGTCAGGCTGCCCTTTGCTATGTAAAGTTTGGCGTCCCTTTACCTGCTGGCAATGCAGGTGTGATGTTCTGCAATTATCAGGCTATTTCCTGGTGTTTTGAATTGTGGAAACAGAAGCAAAATACCCCACATTCAAAAACAAGAGGTTTTTTTAAAAAAAAATAAATAGAATTTCATAATGGGTTATGTAATGGATTGATGTTTGCTATCAGGACAGGAAAGAAAGAGCAGAACCTGTGTGAATAATGATATGGTAATGCAGCTCTGTTGCCTAAACATTTCTAATGAAATATGCAATTAGTCGATCCAGATTCAAGGTATACCTTAAAATGAACTTGATAACTAATTTGACTCCCCCCCACCCCAATATCTTATCTGTGGTCTTTAACTGGATAACACTGGGTCAAATGGACCTAGTTGGTTATCAGTGTGCCCACTCCTCACCCACTCCCCAATACCTTGGATATTTAATATTCTAATACTTTTGCCTCCGATGGCTCTGCTGTTTTTGGAAACCTAATGCTTCATTTTGCTCTTGGTAAATATGAAACGGTGTGCTGTAGTTTTCATCAACTTCAGGGTTGATTTTATTTTAACTGTGTCAGTCTTTATCAGGACAGGAAAGAAAGAGCAGAACCTTTGTGAATAATGATATGGTAATGCAGTTGTGTTGCCTAAACATTCCTAATGAAATATGCAGTTAGTCAATCCAGATTCAAGGTATGATATTTAATATTCTAATACTTTTGCCTCTGATGCCTCTGCTGTTTTTGGAAACCTAATGCTTCATTTTGTTCTTGGTAAATATGAAACGGTGTGCTGTAGTTTTCATCAACTTCAGGGTTGATTTTATTTTAACTGTGTCAGTCTTCCAGAGGCCATAAGGGAAATAAGAAGCAACAACATCTCTTTTCCTCGCACACCCTCACTCACTTCTGACTGTCCTAGGAAGAAAAATGAGGATATGTTCATAGGGCCCACCTCCACTGTCCCATTCACTGCAGCCAACCCCTGCAGTCTTCCATGTCTTCAGGCTGAATGACTTAGGAAGTGGCTGTTTGTGACATTCATGTATGTTCTCCATGTAGTCAGAGTTTGGGAAGTTTACTTTTTCACACTACAGCTGTCCAAGCCGGCCAGCTTCCCTGTCCACCGCCCAGCTTTTCTGGGGGATACTGGGATATATAGTCCACACAAAAAAATCCCCAAGCTCTGCAGGTCATTTGGAACCCTGAATAGCAGGGAATTTACACATGCATAGCCACGTTATCATTTCAGATCTTTGCCCTCTGGGGTGTAGAGATGTCCAGCATTTTCCCCCCTGTAATTGCATGAGGGAATGTACTGTCCTGTTAGGGGTTATTATATATGAAAATGGTATGTATTGCTTTCCTTCCTTCTGCAGCAGAAGCCAAAGTGGTCTAAAGTCCCCAATGGTGTGGCAGCCTTCTTCTTTGTACCTTGTCATCCTGTTCCAGACATGGGGGATCATCCAGACAATGGCTTCATCTTGCACGCTGAGTACAGGTGTGTGTTAGGGTTCATATTGAGCAATAGCACCAAACGTCATCAGCAGGTCAGCAAAAACAAAGCTCCCCTCCCCACAAACTCAAGCATGGCCACCATCACTCAGGTTATTAGCTAGCTTGACTTTTTCACCAGCTAATGGAAAATTCCTCCCTGACCTAAAATATGGCAATCCATCATGATCACAGCATAACCCATCTATTAAGTGTTTGAGAAGGAAAGTTTACTAGGCCACTGAAAGGCCTCTAGCCATGAAAGACCTTGAGGCCCTGTAATGAAATGAAGAAACTATTTAAACTCAGGAGATTCCTCATCCATGTTAATAGGAAAATTAAAAATTTCCCTATTGCAAGGATGAGCAATTAGGGTGGCCCAGGACCACCTTTCTGTGCATGAAACCCTTCAGGGACCAGAAAGGCTACTAAAAATCCTTTTAAAATGTCTAAAACACAAAACAAGAAACTGGTAATAGCTAAAAGTCCACTTCTTCTAAAAGTCCACTAAAAAGGTTTAAATGTGTATTGCCACTCCTTGAGACTTTCAGGAACAGAAATTCACATTTTTGCCAGCTGGAGGAGTGGTCAGGAGAGGACTTCGGCCTACAAAAAACAGCCTGAGACACACTTTTTCCTCAGAGCCGTCCTTTGCCCACTCCTGCTCTGTTGGAAGGGGGAAAATCCATTTGCCTGGATTCTGCCCATACATTATACTTGCACCCACGCCACTGAGTCTGATTCAAAGCAGACAAAGGTGTGGGATGGCTGGCCAGTTTTAACTGAGCCTTGTTTTATGACATATCAAGAATTACTGAATGTGTGTAAAGGGGGATCCAGCGTATATTTGTATGGAACATGTATCAAACACACATAATTACTGAGAACCTCCCAGACTCCTGAAACTAATATGGTTATTTTGGTGCAAGTGTTTGAGGAGCTGTAGTTCAAAAAATTAACTTTACCAAAAAATGGCAGTTATTGTACACATAAGCGTTCTTTCTGCATTTGGTGGTCATCATCCACCAAACCGCCAACTGTGCCAGTTTGTCCTTTGGACCAACGGCTGTTTGGCAGTTCCCCACCCCACCTCCTCCAGCACTCAGAAGCAGTGCCCAGAGAAGGCGGGGCATGGAAGCCAAGGTGCTGCCACTGAGCAGCCGCTAGCTGCAGGAGGCGAGGTTGGGAGATGCTGAACACCTGTTTGTCCAAAGGATGAAATGTGTCTATCTCTAGACAGTGTACTGTTAGTTTGTACTTTCTCAATGAATGTAAAGAATCTGACATAGAGATAGGGTTTTCTGTGTCCTTCCCTATACGCTTAACTACATATGTGAGTAGATTCTGTGCTTGCAGGCTATTATAGCTTGCTCCCACTTCTGTTTGCATTCGCTCACCCTGTATTTGACATAAGAAAAGTACAAAGGTAGAAAACCAGCCTACATAGTACCTGGCCCAGCCTCCATCCAATGCCCATAATATTAATAGCTCTATCACACACTAATTGCACTGGCACCTCTCATTGGTCTTTTAGGGGCCTCTTTCTTTACATAGAACAATTTTTCAACAGTCTTTGTAAATTATTTTCCTTCATATGAAGTAGGATGTCTCCATATGTATCAGGGAGCAGCCAAAATGGAATAATCCTAAACGCGGGGGATGTCGTGTCTACCTGTTAAACACTCCAGGCAAGCAGAAAAGTATGGAGGACAAGAAGAAAGACAAGACCAGAACTGAGAAGACTAAAGAATAAACACATACCATGATCCCAGAGGTTGGAAACAACGTGCTATGACAGTTACCTTTTAACTACCTCCTTTTTTTCAATAAATAATGCATAACTCAGTTATATTAGAATTGTAACAAACATGAATAGAGAATATAGTATATGTTAAGGATTTTAGTATTGTAACACAGCTGTGGAGCCAAGATTATATATTAGATATTGTATTACTGTAAAAACTTCTCCGCGTCTTTGTTCTCTTGTGCTGTGTTTTCTTTCCTCCCCCCATGTATCTGTTTCCCTTTGATTGTTGTTTGATTGTTTGTTATATAATAAAAAACAAATTTAAAAAAATATTAGAATTGTAACATAATGAAGAGTAAATTCATTTCCTTTTGCTGTGCAACTATAGCAATGTTGGTTTTGTTGTTGCTCTTATCATTACTGGGAGGAGTCTTCTTACAACTTAGGTATGCTTCATACTGCAAATCAGAGGCTTGTAACATTCAAAAGACGGCGCTAAAGACTAAAACGAGCCTTTCCACTTATTTTTTCAATTATGAGACAGAAAAGATTTACTTTTTAAAAAAACCTGAAATTTTAACTACAACAAACTACATTTTGGGGGCACTGAATGCTAACTTAATTCTAGCTACTTACGTTTAAAAGACAATTTCCCAAGAGCTGCATGGATTTCAGGCAGCATGAGGAGAAGACAGAGATGGAAGTCCTCAATGAGCTGGATTAGCCTTTCAGCTAAAAGGTGCCAAGAAGCCCACTTTCCCATGAGTCAGCCGTGATCTTAAGGAAAACTGGGGTCAGGCAAGCAAAGCCCTGCCTCTTGCTCCACGACTTTAAAGACTTAGGATGTCTGCCACCTTCACAGCATGATCAGTCAGTTAATCATTGGAATTGAAGGGGAGAAGACTTTATTCAGTTCAAATAAACCTGGACTGGGGTGGGGTGGGGGGAAGCTGGGAGGAGGATGTAATGTATGGTCCTTCTGAATTTGTTGCACTATTATCCCTTACCATCAGTTATGCTGGCTGGGGCTAATGCAAGTTGTAGTCCACCATCAGTCACAAGCACATTCTCCACCCCAAGAAGACCATTATAGTGTTATAATGGATAAAATGTTAGTACATGACTCTGAAGACCTGGGTTCAAATCCTTGCTGGGCCTTGGTAGTTTATTGAAGGGTGCCAATGAACTACTAGATAGCTCAGTGGTTTTGGAATCTCACTGTGGAGCCAGAGATCGTGAGTTCGATTCCCCACTGTGCCTCCTTGTTAGGGGCTGGACTTGATGATCCACAGGGTACCTTTCAGCCCTGTAGTTCTAAGCTTATACATTATGTTATAATGGCACACCACTCCTTAAACATCTCTCATAGTTTGAAAACTTTGGTGGATTGCCATAAATGGGAAAAGAGTTGATGATACATTGCGGTAACGATAACTCATCTGCAGGGGGAACAAAGATTTCAATAATGTGAAATAACCCACACAGAGGGGAGAAGCAATTCAGTTTAGAGATGCCAAAACATCTCCCTCTTTATTTTGTACACTCAGGTTTATAGCTGAGTAAGTAGATGGATTCTTCAAATCTGTGCATTCTCACTATATAGCATCATTGTGCTGGGCAAGACTTGAGTCGTATATGAAGATGCAAGTGAGAATTAATTGTTCCCCTAAATAATATAGGAGTATTTGGGGTGAAACTGTGACTGGGGCCAAGGAGGCATCCTCCTAAATTTTGGGTTGACCCTCCACCCCAATCCATGAGCCATCACAGGGTGGGGTGCTGGTTGCGTTTGCAGCCCAGAGCCCAATCCATAGAGATATGCCCTCCCGGGAATGGGGGTGGTGGTGTTAAAGTAAGAGTCAGTGCGTCTCACCCCAATCTCTCTGTTCTGGATTACTTTAAATTTTCACTAGTTTGCTCCTTTGAAAGTTTAAATGTTAAGTTTTAAAAGGTCATCTATGAATGGTTAATTGGGATTGGAGCGGAAAGCACTTTCTCTAGTACCAGTCCAGGACTGTTTCAGGAATGAAAAAGAGCCTCCAATCATTTAAAGCATTCTAGAGGAAGAAGTGGCTGGAATTGGCCAACGTGCACCCAGTGATGTATGAAGCCAGGATTCACAGGTTAAAAGCCCTGAGACTTTCTGATCAATGGGGGCTATGACATAATCTGCCATGCTGCTCAGACTTCTTTGTTCCCTTCTGAGCTTAACTTTTGTCCTCACTGTAGCTAGGAGAGAAGTGAATCTTCCCAGGACAAATATATTTTTGCAGGCTGTCCCTGTTAGGATGCAAAGGGAGACTGGCCTTGGTCCGTCCCTGTTAGGATGCAAAGGGAGACTGGTCTTGGTCCTGGATGGGCAATTAAGAGCTATTAGCTTTACAAAAGATCTGCTCCTCATTTGTTGATATAGACTAATCCAGCTCCCTGCATTTTTGGACTCCCAGAAGGGAAAGACTGGCTATGGGCACTGTCACAATGAGTGCCTGTACATCCAAATTTACCACAATATTGCCACGTACACACAGTCTCAGTTTCCCACAAAGTACCCCCTCTATCATTCAGGGGGGACACTTAATTCCCACTCACATGTGCTATATTGAAAGTTTAAGGAGACCAACCCAGGACCCCAGGGCAGCATTCAGGAAGCCCCTTGCGGAATGTTGAAAGTCCTCTCAAGTAATCAGACCAGTCCTCTGGCAAGAGTGATCTGGCTTTCCCCAGCTGCGGCTGGACAGAGAGAGGGAGAAAGAGGGGCGTGGGGAGGAGAGGGAGAAAGGAATAATGCAGCCAGAACAAAACAAAACAAAAAAATCAGGACGGGAGGAAACAAACAAACAGAAAAGGAGTGATGCCATTCACCTTTTGCTCTGTCTCATCCTTTGATTCCATCCATGATCCCCAAGGTAGTAGTTTTCACCCTTAGGTAAGCCTGGTGTTCTTGGACTGCAATTCCCAGAAAACCTAGCCAGCTCAGTTAGCGGTGAAGGCTTCTGGGAGTTGCACTCCAAGAACAAGTGGGTTACTCAAGGTTGCAAACTACTGCCGCAAGGGATAGCTCCCTGGAGAATGTGGCTCTTGACAAAAAAAATGAGTTCCCCATCTCTGGTTTAAGGCAAGCCTAGACAACTGCAGCCCCTTATATGTCGTTGGACTGTAATTCCCTAGCCACCATAGCCGAGGGTGACAGGATTTGGAGGCCAATAACGAAGTGGTCCACCTCTAGTTTCAGAGCCAGTTGCCACAGCTTGACCCTGAATGCTCTTGCACCAGCATGCTAAGAGATCACCTAGAGCAATTTGTGCCTCACATGTTCTCAGCTTGTCTCCCAAAATGTTAGTGTTCTGCTTGACTTTGTAGTAACTCATTCATGAGAGTTCTTTCTTTCTTTCTGGAAGGGTAGAAACAGGACAGTAGGAGAGCAGCCTTCAAGCACTTGGCATTTAATGGAGTCTGTGTGATGCCAAAGTTTGATGTTAACTCTGTACTGAAGAAGT